CCTGGATGTGTAAGTAGTAAACTATAAGCCTAAATCCAGGGTCTCAAAATATTAGCAGAACAGTTAGGGATGTGCTTTGGGTCAGCTTGATGTCAAGCCTTGATCCAATGCCAAAAGAAGATGAATCAGGCATATTTTCACTTTAAAATTTAGATTTCTTTCCATGTGGCATTTCTGTCAGCATATCAGAAACACAGGGCATATATCAAAGCAATGTCTGAAGGATGGACTTTGGAGTCATATAGTTCTGAACTGGAATCTAATTCAGTTACTTATTAACTAGATATATGCAACATTAGATGAGTTTGCCTTTCCTAGTAAATGCTGAATTTCCTCATCTATAACAACCTTGCACAGTTGTTATAAGGATTAAAGGTCTGATTTATATATTTCTACAAAGTTTTATTCTTTTCTATTTCTCTCCTCTGTATCTGTCTCTTTGGAACTCAAGTGATGTTGTAGCACGGAGGCCCAAAATCTAGATCCGTGATTCTATGCTCAAATCTCTCTTTCAACTGCTGCTGACTGCCTGTGGTTTTCTATCTTCTTATCCACATCTCTGAGAAAGTGTAATGCATTAGTAGCTAAACCATGCTTGTTTATTCCCCACACCTAACAGAGAGCTTCCCATGTAATTGCAAATAATCACACATGTTTCCCAACTCCTATGTACTCTTTGATTGTTTAGAACTTAGAAAAGAAAATGTTCATTTGGATGTGTTTTTGATGCATGAAAATCAGGGCAAAAATTCAGTGGACCTTTGAAAAATCTAAAGGAGTGACCAAGCTAAACAGGATGGGACTAGAGATAAAAACAAACCAAGCTGACACAAGAAAGGGAATAATTATGTAGGTAAGAAGGAAGTAGAAACTTGCCTGCATGTGAGTCAGCAGCCCGGTGCTATTATTAAAAGTGCGAACATGATCCTAAGATGTATTAATAGATGCATGACATGCAGAAGCCATGGAGTAATCTGCTTATTTTGACTTGGCATTGCCTGAGTCCTTATTGGAGAGATGTGTATTTTTTTTAATGCTATTTATTAGAAGTTGCAAGGAATTTGAGAAGGGTTTGACTGCAGACACAAAAATGGTCAAAGATGTCGACCATTCCACTGGAAAGTTTAAATGTGCTGTGATAATTTACTTTAAGGGGGAACTTGAGAATGTTAAGTAAGCATAGAACATGCTGTGCTTTTTAGGAGATCATGTAAATATATGATATAAGATAACCTCATTATCTTCTAGACCGGAAGTACTCAACAGAGAGGATGAAGTGTATCCTTCTTCTTGCAGACAACTGAATGCTAAGTTTTAAGAAGTAGTTTCTATCTTCTCCCTAAAGGTTTCATATCCTTGCACACAGAATGTTATAACTCAAAAAGCTAAGTGATTCCTTTCTCTAAATCCAAAGATTTTCTTCTTTAATATTGACAGTATCCTCTGGATTGTGTCCATCACTGGTACTGGTACTATGAATGTTCTTTCTAGTAACTTTTTAGTATTTCAGAAATCATTAGTAATTTTCTTTGTCTGACGTTTTTGTCCTCTTCACTTTAGACTAACATCACTTCTGCTTAAGGACTTCATAATTTTCCCCTAAACTTCCCCTCTGATATCCATGTAGCACAAGGATAGCCCGATGCTTAAATGAAATAATACGTGTAAAATTGTCTAACTTGTTACAAGCAGCAACAAAACATGGTTCAACTTATGGTTACCTATACTTTTTTCCCCTTTAAAAGTTCACTTTCAGCTATTTTATTCACTTTTATGGCAGTGATAATATATTGATCATATGTGGGCACTAGAACTTAGCTAGAATTAAATTTAAATGTGCTTGGCATTTTCATGTTATTTAGGTAAAGGACTAAGATATGGAGTAATTTTAGACTTTATTGTTAAATGTACAGAATAAAGTTGCAACAGTAGCAGTGACAGAATAGAAAAACATTTTAAAGAGAAGAAATGGAAAACAGGGGATGGAAACTGTTACCAAAATGATCCTGGTAATAACAGTGCCATTGACAGAGGGAATATAGGCATAGAAGGGGAGGTAGGCATCTGAGAATGGGTCCATGAATGGGTGAGAGAGCAGAACAGCAAGAGATGGGTTAGGGAACGTGTTCTTCATGCAAAATGTTCAAAGGAGAAAAAGTGAATGAGTAAGGCTGTGTAGGTTTTGGGTGCCCACCAGAAGCTGTTGTGGCTCGGATAAGGTTGCAGGACAACACACTGAGCAACTGCTAATTCCATAATGTTTAAGAGCTGAGACCTATCCATCCCTTGGGCCTCCTGAAGAGTCCCTAAAAGTTACAGGTCTTATCACTTATAGCAACTGGAAAAACAGCAGTGGAGCTAGTGCAAAGAAATGTGTGTGTGTGTGTGTGTATGTGTGTGTGATGGAAGTAGTATCAATGGAACTAAGTAAGATACAGATGAGAAAGGAAAAAAAAACTACACAGGGAGCAGGGTTGTTTCTTGGGGGTGTGGCCTTGGCGGTGCCATTTTTCAAGATATGGACTGTATAGGCCACGAATGTAGGAAGAAGATAATGAAATGGATGTAGCAAGGCTGGTAACTAGATGCTGACAAGGATGCTCTGCTAGAGATGTCTAGAGGAAAACACAGATATGTTTAAAAATCTTTACATGATTCTCTGTTTTAAAATGCTCTCTACTGGAGAATAATAGCTTACAAATGCCAGAGAAATATGGACTTTAATACCTGAGAATTTTTAAACAAAAATGTCACCTTAGAAAAGAGTTTGGCAAAAATAGCACACTGAGGAGTGTCTCAAAATTTCATACAGCTGCATATGCAGTTCGTAACTATGTTTCTTGTCCCCTACCAACTAAAAGATGAACTGTATTCTGTTTCTTCATATCTTCTTCGGTCTTTTGTGCCAGATTAGAGTCCTTGTGTGCCTAGATTTTACTCTGGTTAACAGAAGAAGGATTAGACATATGTCTTTTGAGTTTGTAAAAAGTACTTAGATTTTTTTTCTTGAGTTTGTTTTAGAACAGTAGTTTTCAAACTGTGGGTTGCAATCATTTTCAGGGTTGAATGACTCTTTTGTAGGGGCTAAGACCACTAGAAAACACGAATGTTTACATTACAATTCATGACCATTTCAAAATATAGTTATGAAGTAGCAATGAAATTAATTTTGTTGTTGGGGGTCACCATAACATGAGGATTTAAGGGTCTCAGCATTAGAGAGGTTGACAAACACTGATTACACGCATCTATCACTTCAATCTTGGTGATGTGTCTTTTAAAACTTTATTCCACTGCCAACAACAGACTGGGACTCTGAGCAGGTGAGTGGAGTCAAGAACATTACCCTTCAAGCATTTCTACAGATTTGCTTCCCTGAAATGTAAAAGCCATAACCAATATCACTTTTATTTGTGAGGATCAAAAGAAGTAACGCTTGCAAAAGTTATAGTTGTTATTCCTGTTGTTCTCCTTCTGCCCCTCTTCCGACTGCTCCTCTTCCTGCTCCTTCTGCTCTTCTTCCTCCTCCTGCTCCTCCTCCTGCTCCTCCTCTTGCTCTTCCTCCTCCTTACCTTTCTCTCCTTTCTTTCCTTCATCATTTACAATGGAGGACTATATATACAAAGAGGTAGGGAAATGCAAAAGCAATTCAATCCCTTTCCAATACAGATATGTAACTATAACACTTTGGCAAGTTTCTTTATTCTAAGGTTGTTTAATCAGAAGTGGTGATGTGGGTGGACTTTTGATATACAATTTCTCAGGTATCCTTGCTTAAAGATACATTTATCTTTCTGTGGCCTACTCCCTCTGTGTATTTCAATTCGGCTAATTTTTTTCACAAGCTTGTACTGTTGTTAGCATTTTTAATCCACAAATGCCCATTCCTGCAGACTACACTAATGATTCAGAATTCTGAGGTCAAACATCTTACAAATCAGTTTTGAGGAGTACTGCCATCAAGAATACGCTGTGATGTCATTTCTCCAAGTGTGCCTGTCACACTTGCTTTCACTAGTTATTTTCTTCTACTTTCTATACAAGCTCCATTAAACCTCAGAACCCCAGGATTGGGGTGTACATACTATATAATCTCCAGCTGAGCATTGTGGGGGAAACACCAGGTGTCTCTGAGCAGGTATTTATTGGTATCCAGGTCATCCATGGTTGCAAATACTGAACTAGGAACCATTAAAGCCACAGGAAGGGACTGTTTTTTAGGTACTGGCTATGTGTGCTTTTTTTTAAACTTATTCACTTAACATCCTGCTCACTGGTTACCCCCTCCAGGTTACCCCCTACATATATATAGCACTGAGTGTTTTATTTGTTTTGTTTTCCTTAATTGGCTAACCAATGTAGGTGCCATTGGTTCTTAAACTTGAACCCCATGTTTGTCCTGAAAAGAAATGTTATTAAATTATTCTAAGGCAAAAAGCATTAGCTTTGAACTCTCACAAGAAAACATATGTTTGGATAAATACACCATAAGACTTTACTGATGGTTGCATGATATCACGGGGCTCATAAAAGAACAACACATCCATCACAGAACAATTATATGTGCATTTTCTATGAAGTGACTAGAAAATGGACACCTGGCAGAATCTCGCGGTTGTCTGTGTGGGAATTATATCAATTCACATTTAGTCTTTTAAGGTTAGCAAGTCAATTTTGTGACACCTGCCTACATATAAGAGAAGAATTTGGAAGGACTCTATAAACAAAAGGAGTCTCAAATGAATTTAGATTCTAAAACCACATCCTAATGAAATAGAAATAGCTTACAGGGAAAAAAAATAAAACCACAATCAGTGATGGAAGAACCCTTCAGTGTGTTTAGCTTATCAAAATGTTCCTAAATGATTCGAAATGTGGTTTATGTGATAAATATTTTCTATACTGCAGCTATATGTTGACAAATGAACAACATGCACTGTTGGTGAAGAGGCTGTAAAGTGTCAAATACTAATTATCATGATTATGATTTGAACTTGTCAGAACTAACATCTTGACATCTTGAAGAGGATTTGCAGAAGGATGGAAGCAGAACATGTTACAAATTCTTTTCCACTTGGCTATTATTAAACTGGTGAGAATATACAAGTAATGTATACCACAAATGCCTGTGCCCATGATAGAAATACACACCTATAAATTCTATTCTACATAATACCACTCTGTATCTTATTACACACGACATACTGCATTACACTGGTGAGCTCCTACACTTGTTTAAAGAAGTTTTACACGGATTGTACAACGATTTCTTATGTGTTTTTAACTTAGAAAACAATGTGATAAAATTTCAGGTGTGAGTTTCTTTTTGCATTTACTTTCACTCACATTTAATTAACTTAACATTAGGAAATTAATATTCATCAGGATAGGAGATAGGATTGAGATGTCTTTCTTCTTGTATCTAAAGTAATTTGATTAGACTTAAAAAACTCTTTACTCTGAAGAAAATTTCCCTTTTTTTCCAGTTTTTTCCCCTTTCAGATCAATCTTTGATCCTAATCTAACACCAAATGCTATAAGTGACAGCAGGCTACAGGAGTGAGAAGTTTAGGTAGCAGAGGGGAGTTTTCCGGAAAGATTTTATAGGTAAGGACACAAACCAAGGACTATTCTGGAGGATAAAATGGTCAGTCCAAGTTTCAGAAACAGTATGAAAGTTAGGATGGAGATTTGGGATGAAGAGGCGAAGTTTCTCCATCAATTGTATAACCTGTGCTCTGATGCACACCTGCTGGGCATGGGGATAGGGAATTCCATTTCTATATCTCTAGCACTGAGCAGAAGCTGCCCTGGAACACACCAGGCCCTGTTCGGTTTGTTTTTTGAACTCATAAAGCAGCATCACTTCTCGAAGTTGAGAGCTCTTAAAGTCTGTCTCCCTTTTTCCTAGGCTCCATTTCCTGCTCCCTGTATTCAGCTCACAGATGGCACCCTCCCAGGATTGTTTGCTGTTCCTGGAACACACTGAGCACTATGCAATCAGGTTTTTGTGCTGGGTCCAGACTGGTTCCTGTGTCTCTTCCTTTTGAAATCTCATCTATCTGTTTCAGCCTAATTCAAACTCCCAGGTGTGTATCCAAGGTTCTGTATGTGTGAGAAAGATCTGACCCTTCTCTAACCCTAGCTAGATTTAATTTTATCGTCATTGTGCAACCCTGTAATTTGTTAAATCCCCTTGGCTTGCATTATAAGCTAGCTATGCATGTCTGGATTGTCCCTACTGACTGATTGTTCATTGAAAACAGGAATTATATTGATATGTTCATTCATTCACAACATGTATTGGGCATTTAGTATGTGTTGTGTGCTGTATTGAATTTTAGTCATGTCATAGTGATGATAATAAGCAGAATATATTTTCAAAAAGCTCATATTCTAGTAAAGAAAGAATAAAGAAAATAAACAAACACAAAGATGTCTGTGATGCTAAGAATATTGCTGATATCTAAGGGAAGGAAATGGGGAGACATATATTTATACATATATATAAATATATATTACATATGAAATATGTATTATATATACATATCTATGTCTATATCTATCTATATCTAATCTCTATCTATCTATCTATCTATCTATCTATCTATCTATCTATCTATCTATCTATCTATCTATACTGTTCACAAGAAGCCACTCTGAAGATAGACCCTTCTGTTCAGAACTAAAGCAATTATTTAGGAAATTGGCAGAAGAAAATTTTATGCAGAGAGATTAGCAAGTCCTAGGACTCCAATATAAGAGGGGCTTGTAGAGTCTGCTGAGGGACAGAGAGGTGAGGGTGGGTGGGGCAGAGGAAGCTGTTGAGAAGTCGAAAGAAAGCTGAGATCTAGCAGAAGTTCATATCAAATGATGCCTTATTTGCCACAACACATAATCGGGATTTTACTTCAGATGATTATACATAGTCTTCCATGAGTTATAGGCTAAAGCATAACGTCCATACGTTCATGCTTTAAAAATATTTCCCTCTTCTCTTGTGTGTAGAATTGTAGAAAGGGAAATATATATATATTTATATATATAAAATGATCAGCTAGATTGGTAGTAGTAGAACTGCTCAACAGGAGATGATGGTAGGTTGGACCACGTTGATCAATACAGAATCTCCAGGACTCTCCCTGGAGCCCCATCTCATCTTGAGGATAAGGGGGTGATCCCATTCTTTGATTTTTTTTGCTACACCTCTACTCAGAACAAAGAATTTTGTGGCTTAGCACCATTTCAGAGTGGCCTTTTAGCGTTTTTTCCTTAATTTTGTCTAATTTGGTAGCATGTCTTCATTTGTTGGTCCTGCAGCCATCTCAGATTCCTTTGGTGCATGAGCCTAGGATAGCACCTTCATCACACTTACCTAGGTCATGAGAATATCTTCATCAAATCCATCACTCACTTTGGGTTTCCACCTTGGGTGGCATTTTTGCCAAGTGTTCCAAACTGCAAATGTTTCTGAGGATGAAAATGAAATCTGACTCTTCGTCAACCTGGGAACTCACTTACTAGAGTAGCGGAATGAGAGAGAAGGTCATAATAGAATTTTGTCTTGGTCGTATGTCTGTGACTTTGTACTAGGTACTTAACTCACCCCACTCCTTTCCTCCAACAATATTTAAAACAGTGAGTGTTGTGAGCATGTTGAAAGCACATCTTCCTTCAGGCCTGCTGGTATTTCTTAATGTGTATGTCGAGTCACATGTTGCTGAAATAATGGTCAGTCGAGATTGACACCACAAAGTTTGATAGAGAAAACTGGATCATTGTCCAGAAAACTATCAATTTCTTTCTTTAATAGAGAGTGATAGCTAACAGAAATATATGTAATATACACTATATATTTATATACTGTATATATGAGGATAGTGCTTATGTTAAATTAGATACTTTTACAGTAAATTTTATGATTTTTTCCTAAGTACTTGTCTTTTGGGGGCACATATTAGTTTTTACTTGTCTGTATTTAGTACCTAGTGAAAGGTAAGTATAAGGGGAATGAGGTCATGTTGGTAGATTTGTTACTAATCTGTGGAGCGTTAGTCCATGGATATCTATACTTGCAGATAAAATATTTTTATAAGTTAATAGTCAAAGGGAGACGACTCTGTGATGCTTAAATTAGCCATCTATCCATCTATAAACAAATGTCTTCATGTATTCACACATTTATATAGTCTAGAGGCATACACAAATAGAATAAGAATATCATAGGTGCCTCTATAGTTGTGTCTATCTCTTCCATACAGATATCCATATTGATAGACATATAAAAATGCCATATTTATATTCTATATAAATACACACATATAGTATACATATTTAGTTATCAGTTTGTATTTCTAGCTGATTCTGTTGTGGAAGTCATTTGAAGTGAATTAAGAAAACATTTAGCCAACCTTATGCTGGTTATGTCGTAAGTGACCTTTGTGAAATAGAAAGTGATTGCCTCCAGCCTAGGATTGAGAAAGGTCAATGGGCAATTTAAAATTTAAAGCCAAGTATATTTTTTACAGCTTGCCCATGGAGAGGTGTTGTTTTGCTCTTTGTTGATAAGACTTATGTGAGTGTCTCTTGGCCTCTGTCAAGAACAATGGGGATAGTAATTTTTCGTGATAATAGATCAAAGTAGAATGAAAATAATTGTGAGAAGCGTTAACAGCTACAGAGCATGGTTAATTAATGCCATTTCTTCATCATTGTATCCCACGAGAAAGGCAGTTTTACACTTTCATTGCATCAAAGTAAATGGAGACATAGGGAGGGTAAATGATGTCACAGAGTCATTAAACATATTCTGTGGATCTGAGACAGGAACCTCAGTGTGATTGAAAGACTATTTCCCCTCTGCATTAGTCTGTGATCCAATAAATTGATAATGAGAATGACTGTTCCTCGTATGTTTATGGGAGAAAACCTTTATAAAAAGAATTTCAAATGCAAATATATGTTTGGAGGGGTCCATTTTTCTTTTCTTTAGAAACTGAGCTTAAAGGATCACTAACAAAGGGGACAATGCTATATCCAAAAAGACCATTTTAAAACTAAGAAACGTGAATATATATGAGAAGGAACAGCAGACATCAGAATGGCCTAGGTTCATTCTGTTGTGTTGTCCTGTTCTGGGAAGAGATACAAGTTCATTGTTCATAGAGTCTCAGACACAATATATATTACAAAGCAATTGATGACGGCATATATTAGAGTTGCAAAGTTCGAATGAAAAGATAAACTTGAAAATGACAAAAGAGGAAGAACAATCAATAAACTGGAGGCTATGGGAGAATTGTTACTTAAAGAGAAACTGCCTCTACATCCAGGGGCTTTCAGCATTGTTGTATGTACTAAAGTTACTTACAACAAACAGATGAAATAGTTAACTCTTAGGACAGCTATGGCCTGTCACTCATCTGTCTTGGAAATAATATAGTGAAAAACCATGTGTTTTGGTGGAGACATTTTTTGAGTAGAAGATGCTGTGAGGAAAAGCTGGGCAGCTGAAGGGCTCAAGGGACTCATGGGGCAGCATGCTGGTTTGAATAGGAATGGCTCTATAGAATTGATATAATTTGAATTCTTGGCCCATAGGAAGTGGCACTTTTAGGAGGTGTGGCCTTGTTGGAGTGGGTGTGGCTTTGGTGGAGATTGTATGTCATTACAGAGTGGGCTTTGAGGTCTCAGAAACTTAAACCAGTTCATTTCTTGCTGCCTGCAGATCAGGATGTAGAGTTCTTAGCTCCTTCTCCAGCACCGTGTCTACCTTCAGGCTGCCATGCTTTAAATATTTTCCTTTATAAGAATTGTCATGGTTATGGTGTCTCTTCACAGCAACGAAACCCCAACTAAGATGGACAGGAAGCAGAAAGGCACTTGGAATACACTCCCATGATGGAGCCTCACAGTGTGAACAAGCATCAGTGTGCTGGTGATGCTAGGATCTACTGGATTGCATCATGTAGACCCACTTTTGGCTGCATTAGTTCGATGGACACTGAATCTTCAGGATAAACTCCTTGCTTCCAGCCTCCAGCCTCTCTCCTCTCTGTAGCTAATTAATGATCTTAACATTTTGATGCCTTTCACAGCTTTTTATCAAAGTCAGACTTTCCTCTACATGCTAACATTAAGTATTTGGTAAAATTATTCAACCTAGGCAGTTTCTTATTAAGAATAATAGGTATTACAATTATTTTTGCTTGAATACAAAATGTTTCATGCTGAAAAGAGATTATCCCTGCTCAATAAGCATTATTATGAATAATGATGTGCTACCTGAAGGACAGAGTAGAATTCTTAGAAGGAAGAAACTGTTCTTCTGTTCTGTTTCATGGCTCTTTTGAAAATGATGTTTATTATTTTGATTAATATATTGCAAAGTATGAAGAGTGACAAATTGGCTGATCATAGCTTCTGGAGGTAACTATTAATATTTCTCATGCTTTTTATGTTTATTTAATACTGGGTCATATATATATGCATATGTATGCATATATGTATATATGTATATATATATTTTCATACTCACTTTATATCTAGAAATGTATGGGTTTTCCAGATATTCAGTACTATACAAAAACATTATTAATTTTTATATTTATTGCATATACAATTGTTAATCAGATACATCTCTGCCCACATGTATGTTCTTATCTGTTGTTTATTTTATTCCATAAATAAAGTTGTGATGAAATCGTTATGTTTTAGTTCTTTTAAAAGTTTTTAAATTCTGCTAGTGTGAATCTGTGTATATATGTATGACGTGTGTGCATGTGTGGCACTCAGAGGACTAGGTTGAAGTGTCAATTCTCTCCTTTGACTTTTCTGTGGATTCTGCGGATTAAACTCAGGTTTGTGGGATAAGCATCTTAACTGGCTGAGTCGTTTTGCCAGATCCTTGTATCTGTTTACATATTTATTTATCTAATTAAGTTTCATTTGACTTCTTGTATCAGTATTTTGTTGCTTCTAACATAAAACTTTTACATATACTTAGATCATATATGCAAATTTATAACTAAATCTTATCTTCAGTGCTATTGAAAATGATATTGCTTCTTAAAATGTAAAACTTTAATATCCCTGTAAGCCTATAGAATTTAGTCTTAATACAGCAAAACCACTATATTTGATCTACATTCTGAATCTCAGGGAATATATTTTGTGCCTTGTTTCTTTTTCCTGTTTTCTATAGAATACTCATGGGGGTGAATGAATGTTCTGCTAACTAAGGAATTTGCTGCCTTGACATAAGTTTGTGAAAAACAGAGGTGAACAAGTTTTCACCTAAAGAGAGACTTTACTAACTGAACATGTGCTGTAAGCCACCAACAAGGAAATCAGCTACCCAGTCTGTAGGGGTCATGGAGCTCTATTATTTTGTGTGATTTCAATTTGGAAAGCATACATGTGATTCTACTTCTTTCATACAGAATAGATATTCGTTATCATTGGCAATTCAGGAGTGTTGTATTGGTTACTTTACCAAGAGTAACACAAAAATCTGTTACAATAACAAGTGCATCTTGAAGTCTCTGTTTCTTTCACTCATGTTGGAATCTGTGTAGGTGATGCTCTTGGTGGTTCATTTCCAAACTCTACTGAGAGCAAAGACTGCTTCCAAAATTGAACCTCACTAGCTATAAATTCTCTCCCTCCTTCCCTCCTTCCCTGTCTTCTCTTTCCTCCCCTCTCCCTTAAAGAGATGTAGCCACCTGAATGAGGTCGAATGTGAAGATAATGTAATGACCCTTAATATTTATTTCTATGTTCAGTTAATGAATGCCACTTAATTTGAAGATGAATAACAGAATTTACTCTTTCTTTTTTTTAAAAAAATGGGTTTTCAATTTTATTGCACGCCTATTTAGAAAGCTATTACAGTGGTAAAATTTTATTATTTTATGCAATGATCTTATTTAAAAAATATCCCAAAGCTAAACTCTCTGTAGTCACCAAATACCCCTGCTGGGATGAGAGCTAGTTACTTCCAAGTTTCTTTGATTAGATTTGTTAGCATTTGAACCTAGGGTTTTATATTAGAAAATGAGAGTGATAAGGATCTTAGGCGCTCATTGCGTAGTTTTTATACAACCTGCTCAGTCTGTGTGATGTTACTTGTATGTGTGTTTTCAGGGCTGACCATTAGAGGTTGGACAACCAATTGCTGTGCTCTTTCATGAAAAGGCTATTTCTTCCACGTTCAGCTTTTTATAATGTTAACTTTCCGAAATCTAAGCAGCATTATGAAATCCAGCCTTGCCTCATTCAAGGCAAGACCATTTCCATCACTACCAACATCTGCTGTGTACTTTTACAGGCTCAGCCACTAGACTCTTCTTTCTACCTGCTCCCTAACTCCCGCCAAAGGCATCTGTTCTATGCTTCCCTAATTTTGCAAGTTCAAGAATATCTTACCTGTTTGTTTTCTAAAGAGAGAGATAAAGAAAGGGTTAAGATTTGAGTGGGTGGGAAGGAGAAACCATGATCAGAATTTATTGTATGAAAGCACTATTTTCAAATAAAATAAAAGTATATAAAAAGAATATCTCACAGTGAACATGACATAGCATTGCTATATCTTCAGGGACAATATTCTTCTCTCAATGTCCTTCAGTGGCCTGGTGAATTTCTGTGTTCTGTAGTCTCTTTTATATGATGTCAGTCAGTCTTCTTTATATAATACCAATACAACTCCTTTTCTTTCCTTTTGATCAGCTTTGAGTACCACAACCTATCTATCCCTTTATTTTCAATTCTCTCTATTTTATATTTGAAGTGTCTTCTTGAATATATACATACATATATCGAGTTACATTATATTTTTAATATTTTAAATATTTAATATTTTAAAGTTACTGCCACCTGTTTTCCTCTTTTGTTTATTTTTTCTAGTAAAGTGTGTTTTTTGTTTACCTATTTAATGTAATTATTTCTGTGTGGGGGCTTAGATTACCCCCTTTTTTGTTTGTTTTCGTTTCTCTGCTTTCTTTTTCCTATCTGCTTGTGGATTATATCCACATATTTTTAAAGTGTATTTTAATTTACTTGTATTCTTTGTGTGTATGTATGTGAGCCTGTATGCATGTGAATGTGTGTATGTCAGTGTGTGCGCCTGTGAGTGTATCTGTGTGTTTGTGCATGTGTGTGTTTGTGTTTATGCTAGGAATTAAACTAGGAGCTTCTTGGTATATTGAATGCTAGGCAAGCATTTTACCACTAAGCTGCACCACACAACATGCACCATATAGAATAATTTTTAGTAGCTGCTACAGTATTCTGTTATATAACTGTTAATTGGCGTCATTTAAGTTAAACATAGAGATCTTATTTCTATTTATATCATTTTACTGTCTATACTTTTTAATATGTAATGTTTCCTTGCAAATGTTTACAGCCATATCAGACAGTATTATTTTTCTGTAGCCACCAAGCACTGTTTGAAAACCCACAGAAGGAAGGGGTATGACACTTACCTATATTTTTTTGCATATGTATTCTTCATGTTGTTTCAAGGATAGTGTTTTCTTTGTATTAGAGACCTTCCTTATTTATTACTTCAGAGTAGGTCATTGACCATTCTCTTGATTATACTTTATTTGAGACTTCTTTGTATTCCCCTGTATTTCTGAAGAATGTGTTCTCTGGATAGAACATTGTTAGCTGACAGTTCCACTTTTTGATTTTCACAGTTTGAAAAATGTGACACTTTTCTTTGGCCCAAGGGTTTTGATAAGGAATTCATTGCCATTCAGATAGATTTTCCTGCCCAGGAAGTTATTTTATCTATTTCACTAGTTTTACAAGTTCCTTTCTTTGTCTTTGGTTTCATTGGTTTGATGATAGTAGGCTTATTGTAATTTCTCGCTGTTTATCGAGTTTGGACGTTGCTGGATTCTTAGATCTTTAGGCTTCTGTCTAGTGCAAACTTTGAGAACCTTTTTTTTCTGTACTATGTCTTTGCAGTTGTCAGTTTCTTTAGGTATAAGTCTGAGATGTATGAAGCATAAAGCACAGGGAACTCACTGTCATGCTAAGGACAGTTCAGTCTGTCTTTTGTTTTCTAATTTGTAGAGTGTTTTCATTTTTGTCTGATATATAAAAGAGTTGTTAAAAGTTATTAGTAAGAAATAGGAAACTTTCTATTCCATCTTCCCTGAAACTACATTTGTATATAGTTTTTCTTAGTATATCTCTCAGCTATCTATAGTATATAGAATTACTTGTTTATTAGTGGGTTGAAATAATTTTCAGATGAAATTAGCTGGCTGATTTTTTAATGTGTTGTATGAGAGTAAAGAAGGTTCATATTCCTCTTGACAAGGAAGTGTCCTTGGGTCTAACAGGATACATATGGTTAAGGCATTGTGACCTGCTTTGTGGTGGCTAACCACAGTTTTTTAGTGTGGTAGTACACACTTTTAATTCTAGCACTTAGGGAACAGAGGCAGGTGGATTTCTAGAGTTCAATGCCAATCTAATCTAGACACAAAGTTCCATGGCATCTCAGGATGCCATACTGAGACCTCGACTTTAAAAACTAAAATAAAGTTACCTGGCTGTTAAAAAAAAAAGCACCAAAAGAATTTACTTCTGGAAGTAAAAATGGTCTTCTAGTGACAGATATTTCAATTGGGCTGTAAAAAAGATAAAATTAGCAAGCATGGAAAAACCACAGGTCACACCAGGTGGGAAGAGCAGTAGGGGTAATCATCATACCACAGAAAATGTTATAGATCAAGAGAAGACAAAATAAGATTTCAGGTTCCCAAATTGGTTCATAAAATAAACAAACTTAAGGACCACAGCAGAAGAGTCCCCTGCCCCACCTCATAGCACAATGTTGGCCTAGCCAATCTTCAGATGTTTTTGTAGTTGTACTGTGGTTCACAAGATCCTGATATAGAAGGAAACACAGAGAGCTTCCTGCTCATTGCACTGTCCAGTCTACAGAAGGCTGAAAGTGATTCTGTTTTGTTCCTTTGAGTGTCTTCTGCATACACAGATACTTCTAAATGCTTGTAATACACTTTGTTTTTAAAAGTTATTTCACAAGTGCTTTTATAGAGTGATATTGTAAGGATATAAAAATTCATAGAGAAGCTTGAGACCCCCACATCTGAATTAAGGTTGGCAGGTTCACAGGCCTAGGTTCCAGGAAATAGCTGGCCACGCTAAGAAAGAACTAGCCAGGGGGCAAGTCAGCCAGATCTTCGGTCCGACAAAGAATACCAGAACTAGTAATACAGGTTGGCCAAGTCACCCCAGGAAGTGACTGACCACAAGGTAAATGACTAGGCTAAGGTCACATTCCTGAATAGAATGTGTATAGGATGTTTCCCACTCCCCACCCTGGTTTGTGACTAGCTGAATAATAGGTTGAAACTTTCCAACTATTTTTATGATGTAGGTTGGGCTTTCTCCACTGTCACCTCCTGGTTTCCCCCTTCACTCCCCTGGTTTGTGGTTTTCTCCTTTAAATACCCTTTGCTCCCATACCTCAGGGTCTACACTCTCCTTGTGAACGTTGGCCTCAGCCAACTGATAGCCCAAAATCTGGAAATAAAGCCTTTTGCGGTTTGCAGCAAGTTCAGTCTCACGTGATTCTAGATGGTCGTAATCTTCTGTGGCTTGAGTGGGGGTCTCCCCACTCCGGGGGCCTTACAATATATATACTTTTTTGCTTTATATTTTCTGGGACATAGTTGAACTATTTAAGAAATATAGAGATTTATAATTTTTTTCAAAATTTAAATGTTTTTTTAGTGGTATCTTTATGTACTACCTCAATTTCTTGAGGATTTACTACAAATCTAAGTCTTATTTGTATCTTATTTTTTAATAATTTTTTTATTGGATATTTTATTCACATTTCAAATGTTATCCCTGTTAGTATTCTGTTAAACTCCACCTCCACAGTTACCTGGCAGCAGCCAGTCACGCTCCTCCCCACAGTTACCTGGCAACAGCTGTGTAGGCCTGCCCACTATAAAAGGGGCTGCCTGCCCCCTCCTCTCTCTCTTGCCCCCTTACTCTCGCACCACAACTGCAGGTTGTCCTCTCCCCTCGCCCATTCCCTTCCTCCTTTCTCCACGTGGTCATGGCTGGCCTCTACTCCTCTACTTCTCTTCTCTTCTCTTCTCTTCTCTTCTCTTCTCTTCTCTTCTCTTCTCTTCTCTTCTCTTCTCTTCTCTTCTCTTCTCTTCTCTTCTCTCCTCTCCTCTCCTCTCCTCTCCTCTCCTCTCCTCTCCTCTCCTCTCCCCTCCCCTCCCCTCCCCTCCCCTCCCCT